TCCTGAAGGCGTTTTGTCCTTGTCAACGACTTCTTTTGGCGCCAACAAACATGGATACATTACAGGACGACCCTTTGAAACTTAGTACAGTACCGGTTTTCCAGATCTCGAACGTAGACGGGCATTGGTCTGGACGTGTTGCAAGCGTATCTGGCCATGCTGGAGCCCGGAGCGCTTGTGGGCTACTAAAGCCAAGACGCCAGCGGAGTTCCAGGTTACTCAAGCGTACGATATTCAAGATGCAGGCACCACTGTGACTGGACTTGTCCATGCTGGCACGCTGTGCGTGGGGGAGCAGATGCTGCTCGGACCTGATGCTGATGGTCAGTTTTGCGAGGTAGCAGTCGAGAGCATTGAAGTGCAACACAAGGCAGCACAAAGTCTAAGCGCTGGTGAGACTGGAGCTGTGCTGATTCGCTTTCTGGCCACTGCTCCGCCTCTCCATCGTCTCAGAAAAGGCACCATGCTCGTACATCCGAGTGTTCGACCGATGGCTACACGTCAATTTGACGCCGAGTTGCACTTTTTACCGGATGCACGCGCGTTTCGCGAGAACTTCGAGGCCGTAATTCATACAGGTCAAGTACGACAAATGGCCAAGATCGTGCGACTGACTAGCTCCAGTCCAACCAAACTGCAGCCTGCTACTACAATGTGCCGCTTCGAGTTCATGTACTGGCCGGAATATATCCGTCCAGACTTGCCACTAGTACTACGTGAAGGGAAAACGCAAGCTGTGGGTCGGGTAGTGCGCGCTGTGCCTATTTTCCACAAGGAACAGCAAGTAACTCGAGTGCCATCCTGCTAAAACGTCACTATTAATACTTCGCAGCACATTGGATGCTAGGCATGTATGCAAGCAAGAGAGAGTAGTATGCAAGCAAGAGAGAGTAAAAAGAAATGCATTTTTTTCACCTACTTAAATGCATGTGTAGCCATTTACAGATGTTGCTGCAGCCATTTTCGTTGCCTATAAAAAAGATTTCGTGTAGTTGGAGGAGGTTATTTATACACTATCAACTTCTTGCCAGAAGACGATTACAACGTGAGTATTACGATGGCATCCGTGGAGGTGCGCTCTAAAGCCAACCACGACACTACAAACACGAGCAAGATGCACTTAGATCTTGAAGAAAGTACCACTGGAGACCGCAAACAGGACGATAAAGAGCCCAAGAAGACGAAGGTCCGAAAGCGACGTGGACCGGGAGCTCAGGCAATTGAAGAAGTGTTTGCAACGCTGAGCAATGCTCGGTCGTCGGGGCTCAATCCTCCTCCAGAGCGTATCATACTGACACCTCGATCAGCAGAAGCTTGTTTACGCTGTGGAGTGAATCCGGAAACCCTCAAAATCCGCGACTTGGATTCCTTTTAGATCCAGACGTCACGACTGCCGTACAGCGTATGCGCCACGGAGCGTATTCACTACGCAGACACGAGGAGATGCAGACTCTACGAGCTGAAAAGTGGAAGCTACTCGAGGCGGAGGATTGAGGCGGCGTCATCCCGTCGCG